TGAAGTGCATATTATTCAGCAACATCACAGTATTAGAAGAAACAGAGAATGATGGACATGTACATGTATTTCGTTTAATATTTATGTAGTGTGCTACAGTCTGTTTGACTTTGATTCTATAGTCTTAAATCAATTGAAATTCATAATTTACAAGCCCTGTTTTACAATAAACAGTTCACAGCCTCAAAATGTTCTCAAATATAATTACATTCACCATTGATATTCAATTGATTAATGTTATCAGTGCATCGTGAATGCACCTCTAAAACCATAAATATAGCGGCGACATTTACATACCGGTACTTCAAGCATTTGTTATGTCAATGCAGGAATGGTTTCATGGCTGCAAAAGTTGAACGCTGTTTGAGTGATTGATGTACATGTATGAATGTATTCATTATATCATATTTAATTTACAGTGTATAAATTTCTTCGTTTTGATTGTCATGGATGACATGATGCGTATTAGAAGTGTCACTTTTACCCTTGAAACAGCACAGCTATGATGTAACAGTGACATTTTATTGCATCTGTAGAAAAAGAACATTTATTTTAGTTGTTAGCAATAAATATATAGGTACCAAAAAGTAATACATGTAAAAGTAACAACAAAATAAAAATTATGCAATATTTTTTTGTGTTATGAAGCATCTGTTTACAAAACTTCCAATGCTTTTGATAATTTCCTCATTTTTTTTTTAAAGTAGATATCAAAGTATCTGTCATGTTCAAAATGAGTGAGATTGCAGGGAATCACTATCTAGATGTGTTCTCTGTCTAAACAATATTTAGGGCAAAGTGTAATTCAACCTCAATCTCATTTAGCGAACATTGTTTACAAATCCTAATTTCTAAGGGCTTCTTTGGCTGGTTATGTCTTTCTTTCTGTATTGCTAAATTGCGGTTACTTGTTCTGAATTTAAACATAATAATTCTTTGTTTGGTATTCAATGTCGCAAGGTTAAAAATTGCAATTGTTTATATTTTTCTGGCTGATATGTCAACTTTCTTTGTACCATCAGCTTTTTCACTTTGTGAGTATTTTGTTGATATTCTGTATTTTTTTTGTGTGTTGATAAGCCATTTTCTATACTCTTCACCTTGTTTGTCAGTTTATTTGTTGTATGTGCTCATTTCTTATTATGTCACATTAATTGTTATCGATCTGCTGAATTGATTTGTACTTATATTTTTAGATCATTTTGGTTGTAATGTTCAGTTTTAATTTATCTTGAATGTTCATCAATAATAAAGTTTCTTCATTCATTATCTAAGTTTGATAAGAGTTGTCCTGTATGTGTCACTGTGATATATTTTGATGGTTACTGCATGTCCATTTTTACATGTTAATCCAAGTTGTGTAACTTACTTGTCATTTTTGTTCCTGTATGCAAAAACTTGGAGGCTTCAGAATTTTCACTCATGCTTCTTTTATTGTAGTGTCAGATGTAAGAGTTTCTGAGGATTTGTTAAATTTGACATGTATATTGTTGTCTTAAGTGATTTCAAGTTCCACTAAAAAAAGATTGTACTGGGTAATTCTTCTTCATCTTTTTTTATTTTGAATTGCACAAGCCATTATTGTACAGCTTAACTTTGGAAGCTTGGATGCGATTTTTTGTAATTGCGACCCTTTTTTCTTATCAGATTGTTAGTTATTTAATTGTCATAGATACGGTAGCGTTAATAACATGACTTGTCTGCTATAGGCTGTGGTAGTAAAGCTTGGAATTCTTGACCCATTGGTGTCAAGGAGTGGAGTGATATCATTTATCTAAATACAAAAGCCACTATTATTCAGTGTATTGTTGATTACATCGCGTGACAGCAAATGTATTCTATAAACGTCTATTCCAACCAAGTACCTCAATAGGGGTTATAGGTGCTGATCCAAATACCATGGTTTAAACCTATCTATTTTAATAGTTGACGATGAACTCCTATTCACCTCTGGTATATTTCAAACTTTGATAATTGGCCAACCTCTGAAGAGTCTGACACTAAAGAGTGCTAATTCTGAGTTGAAAACTGTAGTTGTTACTAATAACCACAGTCAGCTGGCGCACGTCTGGGTTATTTGAAACCGAAATTGTCATCTAAGCGTTAGGCCGTCGCTGATTGGCTGCTGTGCCGGAATGCCAATTTTTAGTTTCAAATACCCCGGCTTAGTATGGTTCATATACATACATATATGGACGATTTGCTCAATGTCAAAGTTCGGTATACACTTTCTACAACGATATTTACAGTTGTGAAAACAAATAAAATATACAATTTATATATGAACACGTGATTGTGTGTGTTACACCGAATCGAGGCACACTCTCTACTCTTGAGTACAACGTCTCAGTTCGTAATATTTTCTTTATAAGCGAGTTACAATAACGTGTAACACATTTGCCGTAAGTTGCGACGAAGCATCTCGAACTTATGGATATTTATGAGGTCATTTAAAAATAAATCTCTTGTTTGTTTTTTATTGGCGGGCGATTACTGATCAAACAATAGTGTAACGATAGGAATGACCTTCCTTTCTGTTAATTTGCGTTGGTTGGGTTTGGTTCTCAAACGACTTAATATATGTACAGACACATTCAAAGTCGGATGAACCTACATCAATTTGGATATTGTCGATATAGATGCTCGGTGGTTAAGATGTGCATATCGGTTGCCACAGTAACAATGCCATCAACGTATCAATTACAGTTTAGCAATAAACATATAACCGGCACTGATCATAACCATCGTCTACGTGTTCTGATTATTTAACAAAATTCATTGTATTCGCATTTTCTTATCGTTTACTCTCTTGATTTTTAATTTTATAATAAACATGTGAACTTGTGATTGTAAATTGCCATTAAAATTACATAATAAAAAACAAATTTATATAATTCAATATATAAACAGGTTACGGTTTCCTTTGTTTTTTACGTCAGGATATGCCAGTGTAAAGGTTTCCAGCCCCGATTTTGTTAACATTCGGTAACAGCCAAACAGTTAGGACGTAGCAGCCTCCACTGTTACCATGGCTGCATTTTCAACTGCATCACCAAATGTTCTCATCTGAAAAAAAATATTGAATGTAAGCTTTAAACGCTGTCCGGTTCAAACTGGTTTATCTTTTGTTGGCAAATCCCATGTAACGAATGATCTCACCTCCATATCCAACTCCTCTTCTTTCTTTTCCAACTTTTCGTTTCTATGACGACTACGATCACCGACGATCCGCATACCAATCAAGGCAGGGTTTCTGACCAGGGTTCGCGTTACTAACCATTTATTTCGTATTCTCTTACTTTTCAAAAACGACTCTTCATGTTCTTTACTTTCTGCAAAAAGAATATAATGATTGGAAAAAATAAGTGTACATTAATTGTTTGTGTCAAGGTCAACCTTCTCTCGATAAGATGGATCCAAAAATTTGGCAATGAGGGCGCGCTACTGCTATTGACGTGGCTTATGACGTGGCTTGGGTTTGTCAATTGATTTGTCATTTGTTGTGTTTACATGACAGCATTTTATCCGAGCCTAACGACTGGAACCGGCTCGAGCCAACGAAAATGGCCATGTATACGCGTTCGGCTCCAATCCCGGGCTCCAATAAACCCGCGCGGTTTGAGCTCTGACAGGATTGAGCCCGAAATTGGCTCCGCGTGTAAACGCAATCGAGGCCGAAATCACGTCCTAGATCGTCTTCATTATTTCAGTTATGACGGAGACAACATCGCTTGTAATTTCTGGCTTGACGAAGAGGCACGCGCCCTAATATCTATTTTGGCAGAGTAAAGAAATACCGTGACAGATTGATAGCTCAACGACAAACGGTGTACGATATTGTGCGAGAAAAACTTGAAGGGACGACTGGACCGATCCAATGGCAATTTAAAAAACTTTTTTTTAAAGACACTTAAAATAAAAATAGTAGAAGCGCCACGGTATGGCAGCGTGTTTCTAGTAATACTCTGACATGCATCTGTCATGTGAAGAAACACAGTCCCTCTATGGATAGAAGGACTGTGAAAGAAACAACAACATAAGCACGACACTAAAATCTTTTTCAATCATGTTGTTTTCATACTAAGTAATTGGTGGGCTGTTCCGCTCGGCTCTGAAAGAACTGGATTGAACTCGAGCGGATCTCGGCTCTCGGCCGGCCCCGATTATGTGAACGCATTGCAGATAATCTCCTGTTAATCGATGGAAGGAGCAGTAGTTCGGCTCTGATAGAATGCTGACGTGTAAATGTAGCAATTGTTTTTATTTTTCTGGCGCGCCTCCCCCTAAATCTGCGCATGTGCCACGCTTATTTCGCTAAACACTAACTTTCCAAACTCAGCACAGATTCGAAAATTCATTAACATTACCTTCTTCTACCCTATATTTTCCATTGTTTTCATCAGTTTGCATCAGTATGTTGCAGAATGTAACTAGTACGGGATGGGTGTGGTACTCTTCGACAACAACAAAACCATAATATGCTTTAAAACCTGCAGATATGAAAACATATTATTTATATGTATCATGCAATATGCGTATACATACAAATGACAATGACATCACGATAATATTCACGAACGTTGCTGTGGTATGATCGTATTTATGTCCAATCAAAAACTAAAATGTGTTTGGAACTGGATGTTGTCATGGCCCAGCCAATCACTCGAAATTGGGGTAAAAAGATTACAATGCTGAATTGTATCCTGGTATATTTTAAGATATACTAGTAGGTAATAGACCATTTTCCGTTCACTGCGAGATCCCGCGTTATGCGTGAAATCGAACGTAACAGCAAAACAAACAAAGGTCCTAGCGTCGCTGTGGCATCAAAACATCGCGTATGATTCGACAAACTGAAAGTATTTTAAGAGCATTTCAGTGCTTATTAACGTGCTTTTACACACGTTTGATGATGGTTAATTTTAATGAAGTAGGTATGCGCAATACTCCTCTCTCAAATATCCGCATTTCGACATAGAGGTATAAAATAAAAATTCCAAATCAAATTGTTCGATGTTCGCTATGGACGTTAGGTACGCGCATTCGAAGTAATGAGTGAGATCTCGCAATAAACTGAAAATCACTTATTGTACGCCAAATAAGTGCAGTCATGGTGACAGGTGATCGTTACGTCGACTTCTATATATATAAAATAAAACTCGCATTGCCTTGGCAACCATGCAGTGTGTTTTCGATCGATTATTCTATTATCGAAAACTGAATCTAACTGTTGGTTGCTTGTGTCCCTCGGAAAAATATTTCAATGTGTTTTTTCGTTTCATGAATAATTGATATGCGGTAATGCTTTGTGACGTCATTCGTGACAAACGTCATACCACCTAGCGCCACGACACGGCCACTTAGTTTGTTAGTTATTCTTTCCTATGTATATTGCAGAACAGGTTTATTATTATCATCAGCGATTCATATATGTGAATATAGTGTATGGGTCTGTGTAGTTACTTACCCGGGTCCCATAATTCAAATTTACGCATAAGAACACTATGGTCTGTTCGTCCAAGAAATAACATACCAAACATCACAGAATATATAATTCGCATCAGACAAGAGAATAAACCAATTAACATATCATAGTAAAATAGAAAATAGAACAGTACACCGAACACACGACTGAAACAAAAACAAAACAAAAACATAACTAAGCAGGAACGAGAATGCATATCCCGGGAAACCTTGACGAGATCTCGCGAGATGTTCCCGAAATGGTATTGTACGTACCTTTTATTCGAAGACGTATTTGACTAACTTGATTCATTTTGAAACCTACCGGTTGTCAATTCCCAAGACTGCTCCACGATTCTGAAGGAAAATTATTTTTACCAGAAATACTTGAAAATATAGAAGTATGAAACCGACTACAACCGTTAACCTGAGGAATAAATTATAATAAATTTAAGACCAGATGATAGTTTTTCTCGCATGGTATTTTGCTGTGAATTATAAAACGTTTAGATACATAACACATAAAAATGTGTACCGAACCCAAACATTTCCTGCTATTTCAAGTTGTACATTGTACTAGTATTCAAAACTTTGACCATCGATATGATACTGAACATACTTGAGTTTGATGACGTCATACCAAGGGCGTACATTACCCGTAAGTCTTTATAAGCTGCAATATCATTGACGTTTCGTTGTCTCTTATCGGGAATATTATACCATATACAAATATAAATCCAACAATCCAAACCACGATTTGCATGAGAATCCAACCTTTGAGTGAAAAATAGAACCAGAAACGATTTTTAAAAAATCGGCCTCCATAGAAAACGGCATACACGTTTCTTATTTGATAAAAGCAAATGACGAATGCAAGTTGGATAACAAACGTTCTATACTTACTCCACGCAAGATACGCAGTTTGATATCCTGCATAGCGCCAGCTATAGACCTACAAAGTAAAAAGGGGCATCGTGTAATCAAAGGTAATACGCCATGGCAACAAATGTAATTAAGGCTGGTTTACACGAGTCAATTGATGAGGTAACGCAATGAGGAGCGCACGAAGCGTTGCGCCATGGGACGCTCCCTTTGTATGCTATAACTGCGCCACCAAGACCAGTCAAACAACATTACTTGTCCGCAATGCCGGTTTTTGGCAACTCGTCCTCCGATATCCACAAGTTTCCCTTTGCCCGTAGTTAACATTCTTCGCCCACTGTGTGGTCGTGTTGATAATATTGCCAGCCCACAAAAACACATCACACACTGTTATTCCCAACTGGGGAAGTCTATTTTTTCTCCCACCCGCTGAATGAGTTTAAATTTATCTGCCAACTGAACACCTTTTGACGAACAGCTCCGTCGGCCGCCCCTGATTATCGTTGTCGCGTTGCCGCATACGTTGTTCGGCTGGTTGGCCTCATAAATCCACCTCCTTTTAAAACGGAGCCTTACGCAGCCAAAGTCACAGGGTGCCCATCACTCACTCGAGGCTCAGCACGATTTAAATCAAAGTAATACAAACATAATAATAAGTAGTCGTAACATTATTTCACAATGAATATACACCTCAAAATCAAGATATTTGTACATATAGAAATATATTTTAAAATCCTGATTTTACGGTCATAGTCCATATTTATTTTTGGTGATCATAAATATATTAGCGAACATGTGATACGTTCCACTTCGTATCACGTGATATAAGATGTAATGACGGATCATAACTTCATTTCACAATTGTATCACTACGCGGCATGTTTATCACACATTTACATTCACTACACTATTAATTACACATTATTTAAATTAAAAAAAAAAGAATTTATTCCTTTATTTTTTTGTATTCTTTACATGTTTTTACATTTTTTTTCGTTTTTTTCCATTTTTGAATATTTGCTATGTTTCATTTACGTGTACATCACAGCTACTAGTTGACAGGCAGCTGTGGCAGGCGACACGTACGACGCTGTCTTCTAGATTCCACCTCCATGTACAACACATGAAGATCGGGACGACATTTCATGCAATGACAGTCGTTGACGTCATTTAAATTCATCCAATCACCGCTCGGTCTGAGCCTAAAGATAAAAAACAAAAAAAAGATAAGTTATCGAAATAAACACTAGAGGGCGCTATAACAACCCCGATTCATGACGCCACAAGTCGAACGTGTTCCAAACGCGGCAACAAAACGACGCAGAATAAATATTCTCGAAATAATTTACTACACACCTTTCAGAATGATTCTTTTTTGAATTAGAGGATGTTTCAACATTTCTATTGGTTGGCCTTTTAGATCGTACTTTGCGACTGGCATTAACTCTGTTTGCGTACTTGTAAAGGGTTCGTCCAGAATAGACGCGCTTTGGCGGCGAATCCGAGACGGCTTGCATGATGCTGATTTTCGTCGCCATGAAAATAAACGGGACGCACATGACAGATACCATCATCTTGAAAAGCGAGTAAAACATCTTTGATGAGTAGCGTTGACGATTCGTGGGTAATTTGTATTGCCGCAGTGACGTCTCGGTACGAGTTGTCTGTCTGGGAGATAGATCAGAAATGACGATGGTTCTTTTACAACTTCGTTCCACGGCACGCATAGAACGTGCACCATTATGTTATTGTGTTACGTCATGACGCGTTTGCGCCGACGAATGGCGTTCGTACGCTGGCGCTAAATAGATGTGATGATCAGCTTTCACGCAATTAGGTGTATTTGAGTTGGCCTTTACAGTTTGTATCGTAGTTTGTATTTGCTAAACAAGAACAATTACCGAAAAAGTAGCGTGTGACTCGGGCTTGCAGCTATCGAAGAGCGGCTGGCACAGTGACTTAGTGGCCGGCTAAAGCCTGAGTTTGAAATTGACAAGTATGTTATTATTCAAACAACATAAATTACTTACAATTGTCTGTCCTCACTATAATGATCTGAGGTGACGTTTTATTATAAGAACTGCACAATCTATGCTGCCTGTTTACAAGACACATTCACCAATCTCAAAACTAACAAGAATCTACAAACCGTCAGAAACTGTGCAAACTATTTATTTTACGCCTTTCGTGCGTGAGATGCCGAATTGTTTGACTTGCGGACATCGAGTTACGAAATCATCGAGTCACAAAAATGACTACGCCCATATTTTTAAAATCACGCCCACTTTTGTGAAACCACGTCCAAATTGTAACTCGATGTTCAATTCAAACTGTAAATTAAAGTTCGAGTTCCAAAACAAAAAACGTATGTTGCCCGTAACTCGAAGTTTGGTTAACTGTTATTTAAAGTTCGAGTTACTGAATGTGGACGTTCAACAAAAAACAAAATGTATGTTGCCCGTAACTCGGAGTTCTGTTAACTGTTAATTGAACATCGAGTTACAAAGTGGGCGTGGTTTCGAAAATATGGTCGTGGTCATTCCTGTAACTCGATGTTCGTAACTCAATGTCCGTAACTCGGACAATTCAGCATCTTTTCGTGCGTAAGTGGTAAATGTTGATAGATACAGGTGTAAATTTTATTCTTTGTACATATCATGTATTCTTTGATCTCAAATTTTCATTGGTATATCTTTATTTAAATAAGTGAATATTAAATAAACACTCATATACAGAGAGTTAATTACTATTATGCTGAACACGTGACCAGAGGTTACCTTATACTGGTAATTATATTCAACGTTGCATACTTACGACTGCATTAGGGTTACCGAGGGGTATTTTTGGAAAACTTTTGTCCCCTCGAAATAACGCCAACATGTGCTGCCTGTAACAAACAAAACGATATATAAATGTACGATATGTACGTGTTTTGTATTAATACGTCCGGCACCGTGTCGCAGTTACGGCAGCGAGCTGTTTTGTGGTATTGCACGGGGTATCTGCATCCTACCATTTTAGAGAACGATTACCCGGTATTTCTTAGACCGTGAGGCGGGCGCTGGTGAAAATGAAGTTTATAGCGAGAAAGTTCTAATAATTTTCACTATTGTGCTCAGTTCTGGCATATTAGTCTTCTGTGTTCCAAGAATACTGTGTACAATTCGAGAAATATTACGGCTTTTAAAAATAATCTATTTATGTTAAATTACCTGGCCGTACATTTTCTTAAATGTTATGTTTGTATGCATAATATTACTCTCAGCGCAACAAATGCATTCTTTTCATCTTCATATAAATATTTATAAAAATGAAGGGAATGCCATTCTTGCACTGAGAGTATTTTATCTCCGTGCAATAAAATAAAGGATATCTCGCAAGTCATCACACAATATCAGATTATTTGCATTAAATTTCATTTGGCGAATTTAATTTATTCCATATATACATTTCACAATTTTTAAACGCGCATAAAAAAAATGCCAAAAGTATCATTGTCGTGAGAGCGTATTCGAAACTTTGGAAACATTTTGAGTTTCACGAATGGAAGTTCTTCTAAATTAGCTTGCGTCCGAGTGAATCTGTCGATTAGGGCGTAATAAATATCACCGACCAAGTCCGGCTTATGCATACCATACTTGCTTTACTTTGTATGTCAGCAGCTACTATGAGGTTACAATTATTTCTCTCATCACTAATTCATATCGTACGTTCCGGCCAGTGTGGTGTCGCCCGTTTGCGGCTACGGCGCAAAACTAAATGCACTTTCTTCTTCACCGAAACCCGAAACGCAGGAATTAGTGAGAAATGACAACACGAGTGAAACAAACTTGCGTGCGCGGACAGGTTGAAGTCGATAGAATAAGTAATGCTGCCCATCTCATATATATGCGACCTTATGAAATATTTACGTTAGCTGATACATAACACTATCAGAGGTTAATATATTCAAGTTATGGGCATACTAACGTACAGGGACGCGCAGTGAAGATGATAATGTTATTCACCAAATGGGGCGCGCACATATCCGGTTATTATCAAGATGTTTATACACTGTTAGATACAGTGAGATGACACGAGTCCGAATTATACACGTTGTTTTTGAGTGATAATATTATATTGTTCGATAACTAGCGATTTACGTAACGTCGGTATCATTACTACTGTATTTACATCTTACCTGTAACAAGCCAACATGTGGAATAGAAAGACGTAATGAAGAGTTGTAACAAACTTGGAACTGAAGTCAAAAGTACCTGAAATATATATCAACTGTTGTGAGATATAAGGCATATTGTGGTTGGTGTGATGTGCATTTCATTGTATATGGCGTGCAGTTGGAGATTTACGTATTTATGCAGTCTTGGTAAAAATCCAGACAGTGATGTCTTCGAATGGTCTTAAATTGTACACTTTAAAAAGTGATGGTTGTAGCCAACATATGATCGAAGAACTTGGATCTATATGTAACAGCCTTTTTAACGCCAACGCCAACTTATTATGATGTGTATGTAGCTATATTGTCGTCTATATCGTCGACGCGCAAGTTAATCCCCATCACTTCTGATTTGTTTACGTCACCCCACAGCTGTTACTGTGTTGTCATGGCGACTTATACTGTTACAGTATCACAATATCTAGCGTAGACAATAGAACATCAACTTACCACTAACTACTTTTACCAACTCTACGATGTTGTGGTAGACTGCCGTGTGATTGGTTAATTCAAATGCAAGTTTCACCCTGTTATCCGTAAGGTAGAACAGCAATTGTTTGAATAAATAGCCAAATATTGCAGTCCAAACAGTAGATAACTAAAACAACAAAATAACAAATAAAACAAAACTGTAAAATTATCAAATGGATAAATAGTAAAAAGAGGAATAGTTAATGAAATAATAGTTTTTGCTCCTCAAACAGCATTCCATTCTCCCGTCATCACACCCACTGTTTTAAATGCCATGGTTACATTGGTCAAGAAAACAGCGCAGTGGACGCGACAGAAGGAGACAGTGAACACATTCTCATTCCCAGAGTTCCTGGCGGTTAGAAAGTATTGTGGTGAAACGCCATTTGTGTTGATTTCTACAAGTTTTAAATGTTATATATCTATTCGTAGACGCAAAAAAGGGTGAAATAGTTATAATGTACAAAAGAAAATAATTTCATCGCGGTTACTAATGTGTTACTCGTACTCCAGCTGACCGTCATGGTGGTTGACAGGCGAAGAAATATAAACAAACGAAAGCACGTCGTGGTATTGCCGGCTAACTCATTCTACGACCACTCAGTTTGTGTTATGGAAAGACAAAAATTAGCTTCTCACTTTGAAAAAAGCTAGAATCTACAAATACCATTTACGTCGGGTGGACGTTTTTGAGAATAGTACCACTGTGATGCATCGACCAATCAACGGCGAGCATAAGATCACGTGATAACTGAGATATATTCGTAGAAATATTCTGCATGGGAGATTGAGTGGAACACTATTAGAGGTGCGTTTTTTAAAACACAAATCTCGTGACACTCTCAACCTTCAGTGGCCATTTGCGTATGGTCTATGGCACAAATCTCGCGACACTCTCAACCTTCAGCGGCCATTTGCGTATGGTCTATGGCACAAATCTCGCGACACTCTCAACCTTCAGCGGCCATTTATGTATGGTCTATGGCACAAATCTCGCGACACTCTCAACCTTCAGCGGCCATTTGTGTATGGTCTATGGGTGATTAAAACAATGTTAAAATAATAGGTCTGTCCACGACCCGCAAATATATTTTGTAAAATCTCGTAACACTACTTACCTGTAATAAGACCACTCCAGCAACCACTATCGTACACACAATTCGGGTTGAATATTTGAAACCTGGCAAAGAAGTAAGAATGGCGGCGTGATGTAAATGCATGCTTTGATGTGTTATGCTAATATGAATCATTCTGACCTTTTATCTCAAGTTAAACCATCATATTGATATCATGTTTGGATAGAAACTTCTCCTCTAATGATATTCGCGGTTACGTTTGATTTCATTCAATATAATTGGAAGAATAAACACAGTTCACAGTCGATGCAGTGACACACAAAGAAAGTCAAATATTTATGAAAAAAAGAAAGAAAATATATAAATAATTTTATATATATAATACTAGTATGCAAATACAAGTAATTTACCTGGCTTATTCTGGTATAAATATGATCGTAATTTATTCCAACATTTACATTTCGTACTAGGATAAATACAGACAATGATTTCAAGATTAATTCGTGTATAGAAAGTATCCTTCGAAACAGATGGAAATGAATATCATGCGAAGCACATGATTTTTGTTTTTAATATTTCACAACCAGAGCATTTATTATGTACCGACTTTGATTGGTTTACCTTGTAACTAATTCAGGTAGCAGTACTTACGGTTTAGACTTAGGATATAACAGATGTTTTACATATGTGTAGTGATGACCATCTTTGTAGTCTATCGCGTTAATCCAAAATGTTTTCGAGCTCTGTAAATAACGAGATAAATCATTATACAAGCAGTACACAACAACTCAAAACTGAAATAATAGAATAGAATAGAATAGAATAGAATAGAATAGAATAGAATAGAATAGAATAGAATAGAATAGAATAGAATAGAATAGAATAGAATACCAAAAAAATGAAGGTAACATCACGCTATGAACAAATCTGTGGACGAACGTGCCACATGGCTAACGCGAAAGTAAAAATACAAATAAAGTTAGCGACAATCAGTATTATATAAAATTCGAAAACAGCTGAGCTAACAATAGACTATGATATAATACAAGATAATGTACTTCATGATCTTTGCTTCAAAACAGTGTAAAGTTTTTGATCGCATGAATGACTGTAGTTAAAATTGTATTTACGTTAGTTGATTATCAGCCCCGCTGATTTTTAGAATCACGTGACGCTAAAACAAAAACAATGTTCACAAAATATTAATAATAGAAAAGTACAAGCCAAGGGTTTTTCAATCATATATAGATTGTATGGTTTCTTGTAAAATTTATTCCGATTATAGATGTTTTCCATGCAAAAAAAACCTACCTAACTAGCTACCTTAAGCAAAATACTCACCTTATTGCAAACAAGC